GACAAGTATGACACTGAGACACTAAGTTTGGGCACAAATGCTCTGCTTGAGGGGAAACCACTTCCCACAGAGAGATTTTTTTTTTTAAGAGAATAGCTAAACAAAGAGATTTAACAGAAAGGTTTGATGGTAGATTGCCAAGGAAGGCAAGGAATACTTATCCAAAATGAGGCAGAGAATTTTGTCTTGGTGCTTGTATATCATAACAAAAGAGAAAAGACCCCATAGAAAACGTGTCCTGTTGCAACAACTTGAGAAGTGAGTAATAAGAACTTCAAATGCAATAATGAAGAAAAAAGATTAAAATAATAATTTAAGCAATCAGATGAATTAAGACAGGCCTATGAATGAATAGTAGCGATTTCTGCCCAAACATCCACAGTTATACTTTTGATGACTGACAGCTTGTCAGCACTGAACAACGCTGTGCCATATCCCCATAGTCACTGCGAGGGCACAGGTCTTGGATTTTGGGAGAGACCTTGGGCATTGACGTGGACCGGGCTTGCCCTGACACCAAAGGCAGCACAGCCTGACTTTCTACCTGAGACTACATCATGCCCTTAGATGTACTGTCACGCTGCTGTGGACGGTCACGTTTTTCATGTTTTGTTTTTTTTTTAAAACAAGATTAATGGACTGCATTTGGCTTAACTGTCTGTGCCTCAGTATTCCATACATGTCATGGACAAAATACCTGCCTCACCTCACAAAGGGTGTCATGAGATTAATTACGCTCATAAAGACACACACCTCTATCCCAATTATATTTCTCAGTTTTCCTTTTAAAAGAGTAGCAGAAAAAATTAATAAAATGCGCAGTAAACAGGAAATATACTTATTAATTGTTATCTAGGTCTACCAGGAATATTGTACATAAGATGATGCTAGAGTGCTTGGAAAACCAATCACATATGATGGGTGGTGAAGTACCACCACTGTTTCATGCTAAAAGGCAGACCAAAATGGCCAGCGCCACAGGAAAATAACTAACATTAGTTGAAGATATAAGCAAACATCAAAATGCTCTACTAAATGTACAGAAGTACTAAATGAGTAAGAATATTGTTTTACAGGAACTAATTCAAGAGCCATCTCCTGACCAGCAGAGGGGCAATGTTACAACCTTGGACTCACAAAAATGATGAAACAACTACCATATCGCTTGTCATATTCCTGCAAGTATCACCTCAGACAACTCAATGCCTGAAGCAACTATTACAACCTGGATCCTGAATGGGATGGAGAGAAAAATCAAAGTTTAATCCAGTCCGCAGACTCAGGGGTCACTAGCACAAGGAATAGAGCAAGACTAAAATAAATTTTCCTCTTCTGAAAATAGTTGTGATAACTAGACATCCATCTCTCTCAGAAATGTTGTCAGTCTGTAGAATAATTGAATGGAGGAAAAAAAAATCTTTTTTCAATAGAATCCTTAATCCTTCATAACCTGAAAACTTTTTTTCTCACCTATGCTTTGAAGGCCAGTAGTCTATAAAGAAATACACTAACCTTGTACATAAATACAAATCTGCAGCATAAGGAGAACCAGGGTGCTCCTTGCAGCTGGCAGACTACTTTGAAAGGCCTCAAATGCTTCACAGCTATAACGAAAGACAACTTAAAGAGACTGGTAGAAATCCATGCTGCACCGAGAACCTGCTCGTGCTCAGCGTTTCCCTTTCCTGCTCTGCCCACAAGGTCTCCTGCTTGACCTTGGGCAAGGCAGTGATCCCTTCAATGTCTCATTTCTCACCGAAATAGCAGCACTATCTAATAGCACTGTGACGAAAATAAAGACCATTAGGCACACAGGTCCCAAACGAACCACGTATCTATCACGGAGAAAGGGACAGCTGAGCACACTCAGGAGTTTATAATAGTCATCATAAAGTTAAGAACACCATTACTGACACATGTCTTGGTAAAGACTCCCTTTATCCTGTGTAATTCATCATGTTCCTAAATAGTTTCACAGTAGTCCAAGCTCATATTTAAATACGTTAAAACTACAAAGGAAATAAACAATGGACTGTTGGGAACAACCTGCCAGAGGGGAAAGAAACAAATTGTCTTAAATGTCATTCTCTGCCCCTAATTTCATTCTGTGGAGAACACTTTGTGAAAATGACGATTTTATTATTTCCCATGTCATGCAATTGTTTCATACAGAAGACAAAAAATCTGCAGTGTGTTACATTAAAAACTCTATGCAAAACTGCATTCACTTATTCAGCTCAATATTTCTTGGCAAATTTCAAACACACAAAATTACATGCGCTTAAAGAAAAAAAAAGAAGTCAGGATTGAAAAATGAGGATTGAAAAGCACTCCAGATACATGCTTTGTTTCACACACAGATAAAAAACAAAACCAATTTAGGGAGAGCGCAAATGTTATTTGGTAAACTTTTAGGGATAGGAAAAAACTCAGAAAGAGTCTGATTCAAAGCCCACCAAGCTCAAGATAGCTCTACCACAGTACTGGGCCAGAAATACCCTAAGACCTGTTTCTCGAGACACATTCCATTTCCCTGGAAAGACTGGAAATACTACAAAAGCTGTCTTCCATGTGAGCTATGCATACAGCATCTGGCACAGTGACACTTTCAGTTGGGACTTTTAGATGACTCTGCAATAGGGATAGTTAACACCACCATTATGTTAATTCTGTTTTTTCAGTCATCAGCTGGAGTGCATAGGCACAAGGAATGAATATTAGATTAAATTAAATTAAATTAAAATTTCAAGTTGCAACAGAAGTTTGGCTTGCGTTTGGACTGAAAGTCTGATTCAGAGGCAGGCCTGAAACTTTTATTTAATCAAATGCATTTGCCTTGCTCTCAAAATCCTTACATATAAATGGGAAGAAAGAGACCTCAGACAATACAACCTCTTATTTTACGAGCTTCTGGCCCACTCAAACCTAGCGCAAAAACGCACACTACAACTGTATCAGGTAAATCCTTACTCAGGTTGATAGTTGCATTGAGGTTAAGTTCTCTGTTTTTTTATTGTTTGTTTGTTTTTAATATTTTACCTGATAATTCTGTTCTGCGTATACAAGAAATAACAAGAATACTTAATTCTATAACACAAAATGAAAAAAAAGAAAATCAGGTCAGAAGTGTAAACTACTGCTGTTGCACATGGGTAGTATTTGAAAAAGTACCTGCTTTGTGAATTTAATAGCAAAGGCACAAATTTTTTTAATAGCTACAGAATTACAGTAATTAAATAAATTCAAGACTAAGAAAGAGACACACGCAAAGGCAGAAACAGAAAATAAAAGCTAATGTTCACTCTCCTAGAAGGAACAAAGATGACCCTACCTTAAATAATTCAAACTCCTTCTTTGGCATCAACAGCTATCAATCCACAAAGGATATTTGCAATTGAAATAAAGGCATAAACTTCCATTAGGATGGAAATTACCACCTCTAAGTAAACAAGCAAAAAACCTTAAAAGAAAAGATTTTGCTATATTTCTGTTAACTTTGCACTCATGTTGTAAACTATGCAACACAGCCTGTAAAAAGAAAAATATTTCTTTTCATAATCAGCGGGACATGCAGGGTTTTTTTTTGAGCTTTGCTGTGGATCTCTTTCCTTCCCCAAAATACATGCGTGCGTGCTTCAAAATAAAGTTTTGCTGCTAAGGAGCGAACGTACCTGGATGGTGCGGGTATACGCAGGTTCTGACCATCCTGGACCACCTTCTTGATTTCTCAGTGGGTCCAAAATGTTGTTTGGCACGAAGCCTACACTGCCACTTTTATTCTGTACCTTCCACCACTGCTTCCTGTCATCCAGAATCTGAAATAATTTGGCAAGTTAATTACTTATTTTTTCCTACTTTTCTCCTGCCAGCACTTACGCTGTACATAATATAACACAAAACTGTAATTTTGCCAGGTTTCGCATTTGCTGACAGATCATATATAGACGTCTCTAAGGAAGCACGCTGTAGGCTGCTTTGATTATCACCGTAACTAATTGTACCTTGTAGTACTGCACTTTCTGAAAGTGGGTCTGAAGAAAGGATTTGAAAGAAAAGCATTTAACGAACTCATGTGAACTCAGATGGGTCAGCTCACGTGTGAAGGACAACCGCAGAAAAAAAGAACAGAAACGCTTGAGCAAAGACGATGGATGGCATCTTGACAATCTGTCTGCCGCTGACAGTTGGAAAACGTAACTACAAATAAGCAGCGCATCATTCTAGGAAGGCACAAGTTTGGAGACGGAGCATTTCTGAGTAAACAAGGGGCTGGTACATGTTGGCTAGTAGAAATCTGACTTCTGACCACCTGCAGGGTAACCTTACACAAAACATTTTCTCTTTGCTGTTCCCTCCCTCCTACACTTCTCTAGCCCTTCCAGGAAAGGGCAGCCTTTCATTACGCTCTGTGTCTACAGATGGTACACAGAGCGAGTTTTTAAATACTGTCAAATGATGCTTTGAAAAGCAACACTGCAGAAGATGGAAAACACAAAAATACATTCATCACGTGGACCTCCACAGCAACAAGTTGTAAGTCAGCACAGAATCTCTGTTTACCTTGCCTATAATGCAACACAAACTAATTGAGCTTTCCATATTAATGGAGATAAATCAGACTAACGTGTTGAAGTCATTATTCTGGACAACCATACTGCCTACAAGGAAGATATCCTCAGCTTTGAGAAGCAGTATAAATTTGTATTTTCTCTTTGCAAAAAAAATTACCTCTACAATCTCATCCTTCATGACAGAAAGCTCACTGTTGTTTCTCGCCATAAACTCATACTTGCATTTGGCATATTTCTTGGGCTGCGCTTTGCTGTGTGCTTCATAGTTTCTGTAAAGCAAAGACCAGACTACTGTCAATGAGGCGTTCAAGCAAATAAAAACAAAGACAAAATGCCCTCTTTTAACAACCTGCAAAGCACTCAAACAAGTCACCATAAAGTTACATATACCTCAAAAACTGGTAATCTTTATTGGCTCACGGCTTGCAATATGTATGATAACTTGGATTAGCAGATGCCATTGCATAAAGATAAATATGTACATTAGATTTAGCGTGTTTTCCTATAGAGGACTATGTTAGGTTAGCCAATCATTTGACATAAAAGCAAATGAATACATTGAGATTGGATTTTTGTACAAACTTGTGCTTTGAATGAAACTGTATTTCTAGATTCCATCATAAAATAAGTTTTAAATCACATAATAAATGAATAATCTTTTGGCATTGATTCTAATGGAATTAAACTACTAATTAAAAAATAAAAAACATTTGTCTGGTATAGGTCAGTTTTCCTAACTGACCATTAGATATCATACACGCTAACAATCCCAAGTTGTTATATCAGTTAAAAATGAAATATAACTTCTAGGTAGTTAAGAACAGGGTTCATTGCAGAATACAGTATACCACAGTAAACTTCAGTAGCTTTCTGTTTCTTTGAGGAAAGATCTGTTCAGATTTGTTCAAACCCACGCTGTCTTTGGGTAAAAAGCTATTATTTTCTTTGATGTACTACTATTTCAAGGTCAGAAGCCCCCCGGCCCCTCAAGAAGCACTTAAAGCAAAGAGGTACGTTATTCACCTATTGCAAGTGACAACCCAAATCCACACTACTTCACAAAGTTCAAAAAAAAAACAAAAAAAGAAAGGATAACAAAAAGACTAAACAAGCAAAGGCTTGAAAAGCTGCACACAACATCACAGCACAGAGGTACGAACGCAGCCGACCGCTGATGTTCACAGGGTAACTGTGGCTCCTTGGCACGTCTGGGCTTTCCAGTGGTTACCTAGCTATTGCGTGGCTGTGGAGAACTGTCTCACTTGACTTGAAGAGCAGAACAAAGTAATGGTCATATTTAGATTGAAAGTTATCATTTCAAAAGACAGACAAAACACTAAAAGCATTTAAGGAGAGAATGAAAAATATGGAATGAACCACTGCCTGCAGAATTGCTTTTATGAAGTTGAAAGACAGGTTGAGTAATCTCAATTTTTCAGCCACCCACTCCAAAAATTTATACAATTTTGAAGTGCTTTCTCACCATTTTAGGCATATGACTACTAATGTACCTCTGAAGCTACTTTTACTGTTAAGCTGCCTTTCCACACTCTCTGCTTGGAAACAAAGAGACTGTGCCTCCCTGCCTTTCCTACAGCTAACCACCCAGTCCCCTCCAAATACCGTAACTCAGGCAGAATTTATAACGAAATGCTAACGCTTCAGGTTTACCCCACTCTGTTGCACTCAACAGTAGCACTCCCAGAACACAGGCAGGCTGGTGACTGCATGCTTTGAAGGGACCATAATTCTTCAAGTTCAGCTTAAAGAGCCAAACAGTTTACTTGGGGCACAAATATTCTCAACGCTTCCCTCCATCCATCCTCCGCTGTGTTTCCTTATTGCCTATCGGATATATTGTAATTGTGACTCTTTGCTCTCCTGCGCATGCCACATGGGAGCCTAGTGGACTACAGGGCCTTACAGGGTGCTCTTCCACAAACAACAGCACAAAAATAAACCACATAGCATATCATTTTGACACAGCACAACTTACTGAAGAACTGCATTCAGACTATCTTGCTCAGCATCAGAGGGAGCCCTGAACACAGGAGCCCCGGATGGACCCTAATAACGCACTGGAAGTTTAAGATCCCGACGCTTTAAGCTGCCCAAGGAAAGCACGTCTTATTCTAGGTCCTGACATGTTAGAACTTGGCTCATTCAAGTTCCCAATGATTAAATAAAAAGTCAAAAAGCAGCCAAGGGCCAGCAAACTATGGCTGAAAGGGTCAGCTTGTATTCCTCCCTACCCTAAACCTACCCTAGCACCTGCCTCTTCACAGATGCTTTAACATTTATCTTTAAAGTTACTTACAGTAATACATATTAATAGCTTTCCCCCATAATGAGCTCCTACCAGGCACCTATTATATGTCTCAAGAGCCAATTAGCAATGAAAACGCTTGTGTAGCGTTGAACAGGCTGGACAATGATACGCTAGAGATGTTTGCATCGGCACCAGCCATCTCGACTCCCTCCTGCAGTCAATGAGGAGAAATAGGCACCACTACAGCACCTCTCGTTTCATGTTTTTCAAAAGACTAACTTTACCTTACGTGAACTGCTTCTTAGAAACACCCATTCTCTTTACCCACTACTACAAAGGAGGCTTGAATGACTACTTCAGATGCAGCCAGATACACCGATACCATCTACAGTTCGATGCAGCGAGTCCTAGCGAGTCCTATTCTCGTAACCTGAAATGGAGGCAATAGCACTTGCATGGAATATTGTTACTCTGAGAGGACAAAGCAGGCCTTATCACGTTACAGATAAAAGAGAAAGGAAGTTCTAGTAAAGATCATCCAGATTGCAAGCTGAGTGGTCCTGAGAGAAGAACCCAAAGAGTAACCAAGTTTGAGAAAGATTAGAGATGACTACTGCTGCTGCTGTTGTTATCAAGAATAAAACTAAAATTCAGGAAAAGAATCAAGGCTTTGTCCTGCACATCACGGGTGAAATTGTTTGCATGCAGATTATCAAAAGAATCTTTTGGCACGTAGCTCAAACCTAGGAGATATGCAAAGGTTTTCATCAGTGGAGTCATAGCAATGCTTTTCTGTTTGTTTTTTTGGCTTTTTTAGGCCAACAATCTTATCCCCAAAAGTTAGCTTAAACATCTTCCATGACACTTAAACTAAACACACGGTTCACACGGTGCATAAGGAATACCGTTTGGTATGGGGGAGCATGCCAGCCCTGCTTTACTGATTTACTTCCACAGCTTGCCCTGGTATAAATTCTCCACACAAACTTGGCTGAGACTGCATGGATCGGTGCGTTTGATCTTCTTAAGCTATTTGGATTTAGGCTAAAATGGAGGGGATGAAAGAGGATGTGCAAAAAGACTCTGGTTGCTATGCAAACGTTTCAGAGCATTTTGTGTAACTGAACATTTGGAAAAGGACAGGAGGAATGATTAGTTACTATTCGGAAAGTGGATGTTTATGCACCAGCCCAGAAAACAAAAAGCAGAACACCAAGGAGCAGTGAGGGAGCAGTTAAACAAATCAAACAGTTATTCAAGACAATGACAGATGGATTTCAGAGTGGATTTGTAATTCTTTGCATTTCCAAAAAGAGCAAAGTGTACCTTTTAAAAAATATGAAAAAAGCAGAAATAAAATTTAAATGCAAACAAGAGGATCCAGTGTTCCGATTCCGGTTGATAGGCTGGATTTCCACTACATCATTTTTGACAAAAGCATCAATTTACAGGGCATACAAGGGTACTACCATAGAGGATACACTAAAACAGTCTCAAAGATGTGCCTTAAAGAAGCAAAAGCAAAATGCCCACTGCTAACCAGCATGGCTTCCTTACAGAAATAAGGACACAAAAAGAGGCAATTACAGACACCTCCACCCCAACAGCAGTAAGTCGGGACAGTTTTCCACAGCACTACGTAGGACGTCGACTCCGTGTTACCTATCTACGTGCCGGCTAACAGTTTGCTTAAAGGCAGCAACAGCGGCCCCTTGGTCCAGCAGAGGCCCTCTTTTGTAAACGGTGTTACTGAATGCATACCCATCGGACGGAGGGTAGTCGGGAACACCGGGAGGCTGCAAGACAGAAAAACACAAAGCCACAAGGTGGATTAGCGTCGCCCGCAGACACAAACGGCACTGGCTTATTGCACCTAATCCAGAAGCCCCAGGGTCCCTGCCAGCATTCGCGTGCCCTTGTTCCTCAGGTGCTTGCGGTTCTGCCATGAAAAGTTAATAACTTCTGCATTTCAAATACATAAACAGAGAGATCAAAAGCAGGAGAATAAAAGAATTTCTACCCGAAGTCATCCCGCTGCATTAATATTGCAGGGGATGTTCTTCAGGAAAACAGTTCTCCGGGGCAAGGTCCATGTCATCTTTTAGATATCACTACAGCAACAGAGCTTGCAAACAACAATGACTGAATGGCTTTAAAATAAACTGCACTGAAAAACTGCTTTGAGCTTTTGTTCTAAATGAGCACTTTAAGGCAGAAAACTCTAGCAAGCTAACACGAAGTCTCTGTAACAAATAAAGCCTCCTCAGTAAAATTGTGTCTCATTACTGTCACCCTACGATTGAACATGACTGAAGTCAGTGAAGAAATGCAAAAAGGAAAGTGATACTCAGTATAATTAAGGATTTTAATTAAAGAAAATAATCACAGTTTATTACAAGTGCCTATATAAGAATATTCGACCCTTTACAAAATTCTTTTCAAGAAGCAGCTCTTCACAAAAGCCCAACCTTAAATCCAGTAATGACAATCTGCTTCTAGCAAGAATTATTTTAAAATCCATTGCCCCAAATAAATTATTTTGACAATCAATCTCCACTTGATTTCTGAAGATTCTGATATGGAAGTTGCTCATTCCAGATCTCTTTTTCTCACACTACCATCCCATCACACAAGTTAGGACAACTGAGCTTCATCAGAAATTCTCCAATCCCTAAGTCTGCCTTCTGTTTTTCCTTGCTGTGTGGCTACAGAAAAGTCACCCACCTCATTTATGTCTCGGAGCATCAGACCTGGTGCCCAGAGGCGCTTACCTGTGGTGCCGAGGCTTTGTGAAGAGAAGTGAAAAGCACAAAGAAACCCATATATGCAGAATATTCTTAAAAAACACATCAGGAAAAAACCTCTTTGAAAAAAATCTCAAGTGTCACCTAGTTTGTACCTTACAGCGAAAGATACCTGGGGAGCGGGAATCCGTTTTATTTCCCGCAGAAATTATTTGCACTGCCTCAGTCTCACTGGACTGCAATCACTGGCTCCCCCTTGTTTCGCTGCCGCCCGAAGTCACCATCACGGAGGCGACCGTACCTTGAGCCTCCTCCGGTGCAAACCGCGCGCGCAACTCCACCATCGCACTCAGAAATGGCAAGGAAACCCCTACCCGCTCATGAATCAGAACGTCTGCTGCGTTTTGCTGGGTGCCAGATGAACACCTGGTAACGAGGGCCAGGCACCACAACCACGGCAGCAGCACGCATCATGTTATCCCACCCCGGCGCATTGCTCTCTGCAAGGGACGCCCTGCAGGAAAGGGGGTCGGGACGAGGCCGGAGCCGGGCCGGGTCACCCCAGCCCAGCACTGACGCTGGCACCCAGCACTAAGGGAGGAGGAGGAAGACTCACAGCGGGCCTCAGTCCAACGCCACACCGAGGTATGAGGTGATTTAGAGGCAAGGAGCGAACATTTAAACTCCCCTTTTCCCTTCGCTTTTCACTAAAAAAGCTGTTACAACAGAAGTATGAACGACGAATCAGGCACAGGTTGCCCAGAGAGGTAGTGGAGTCTCCTTCCCTGGAGATATCCAAAACCCACCTGGACGCGATCCTGTGCAGTGTGCTCTAGAGGGCCCTGCTTGAGCAGGGGGGTTGGACTAGATGATCTCCAGAGGTCCCTTTCAACCTCAACCATTCTGTGATTCTGTGAATTAAGGCAGCACTCTGGCATTGCTCACTACGGGGCAGTCTGGTCAATGCTGCAGACACACAGCGTTTTGCACTCGCATCACTTTTTGCAGCTGAGCTGCTTTTAGGGGGTTTTTTAGGTTTAGTTTTTTTGTTTTTTTTTTTTTTAAACTAAGAGCCTAGGCTGTCACAAACAATTACCATTCCAAATAGCATTACTACATGGACACCAACCCTTCTTCCCCATCTTATTCCCCTTTTCCACCAAGATTTTGTTTTATCTTATCACACATGAAAAATGTTACATGAAATATTTACAATCATCAGAACACAAAAACTAATGCTCTAGTTTTTTTTTTTTCAATACTATTTTACGTATTTCACACAGCAATCAAAGTGGATAAAGCTTTTGTTTTTTTCCTCCAAAAAAGCGCAATCAAGGAATCGGAAAACCTGCATAGGAAATGTAGGACAAGAGTGAAACTCTGAGACAAGGCTGGATGTGGCTTCTTGGGGAGATGAATGGGGAAGGGGGTGACAGCAATGGTAACAGCTAGATTTTACATTACTGTGCTCATTAACTTTAATAAATGCTTTTTTGCTCAAAATAAATCATAGAAAATAACTTTTTCTTCAGTAAATTTGTTCATGTATATGTTATCAGGCATAAAGCCAAACAGTATTTTAAGTAATCAACTGTGAACCATGATAGCCTTCATTGCTTAGGAGAAGTTTTACCCAGCTTTTTCATCTCCTCAGCTGAACAGGATTTTTTTTTTTTTTTTTAAACTAAATGAAGATTTTCCTCAAAATAGGGTTTTATTGTGACAAGTTTTCCATGGGCAGTTTTGATACACTTTTTGGGTGGAAGTTTTGTTATCTCCATTGCAGAGAAGTGCTCCACAAGAGAAAGCCAGCCCACAACAGCCAGTAACACGGTATATTATGAACTCAGATTTATCTGCCTATGACTGAACATAGGGTATTCATCTCGGAAACTGGAGACCAAACTGCAAAAACGTTTTGATTTTTCCTTTGCTTTAATAATGAAGGTTGCATGGGATAGAAGTGGCTTTTCCTTCCTAGCTTTAGCCATCTCTGGGCCATATCCCTGAATACACACACATACGATCTCCTAGCATCCCTATGAAATGGCTGGCTCCTCTCCAGGCTTACGTGCTGCCTGCTCAAAACCCAAAATGGCAACTCTGAGGAATATTTTTCAAAAGCACAAATGGCCATCAGGTGATCACTCCGAAATCTTTCCTTTGAATCTTCTTCTACACACGCAGGGGATGGGAAAAATGCTGCTTTGCAAGAGTTGTTCTAATTGGCAGCTGTTTTTCAGAAGCAAGCCTAAATTACTTGATGCGGCATCACTCTGATAGCATCTGTGAGTCTTTTACTGAAATACAGTGGAAGTCTCAAGGTATTATGAAAGGAATATTAAATTCCACATCTGTGAATAAGCAGCTTAAATCTAGCATTCCCCTAAAAGTGTTTTTTGGGTGTGCATGTGCACGGATGAGCATATGAGAACAAGAAAGATGCATACACACTTTGGTCCAAATTCTGCCTCAAGTATATGCAGTCAAAATTAACGGGATCTACAAGCGCAGGAGAGGAATCAAACTGAATCTCAGGAGCTTGGATTCTCCTCCTGGCTGAGGAAGGAAAACCTACTGAGGTTTTATGAAGGAAGGAGTTTCATTTAACTAATTTAAAAAATAACTAATTTCAAAAACACTATAGTGTTTAACCTACCTCAGTTGACAATCTTTTCATTTCTTGTTTCCGCTGCTGCTCTGCAACATTTGCCACGGACTCAGCCAAATGATTGAGTTCTTGCTCCTTTGGAGCTCCTACGAAGTTCAGCAAAGGAGGCTCCCAACCATTTCGGAAACGAGGGACATAGGGTGGAATAAACTGCTCTTTGGGCCAGTCCGCTCTGCATGAAAAGTAAATTAGAGATCTGTATCAAGAGGCATACAAACATTTCTAATAGTTTTCCTGAGAACTGAAATGCTTTATAATTTTTAGGAATAAAGAGAGGAGACTGGGATTACAGCACAGAAATAATTATGCTAGAATGCAGAAAATTGGCAGAAAGCATTATTCACTGACCGCAACTACGCTCTTTGCCTGGCAGAAAAACTGCTCCTGCCCTAAGGACCAGTTAGAGTTAAGGCACAACAACTTTCTGTCTCATAGCAAAGGATGAGTAATAGAAGAATCAATCACAAACAAACCTAGGATTTATTTTAACTGCTAGATGGGAAGAAGAATTGCAATACTGTATTTATGCTAAAGCATAGACAAAAGACTTCAAAGGAACAGTCTGCTTTAAAAGACTTGAAATTAGGCATGAAGCATGGATTGCTAGGAGACCTAGCAATATCTACATAAAAAAGGGGATAAATAGCTTTTCCTACAAAACAAAACTCCACACACTCCACAAAACAACAATTATCATCACATTTACTCTTTTATAGCCCATATTTTTTATTAAGCTGTATTACTTCTTAGAGCTCCTTTAGCATTCCCTATTCTAATACACAATACCTAAATTAATGCTTTCATGCTCTGCCTTTGCAATATCCATAACATGCTGTCCTGCAGCATAAATTACTGTCTCTTCAGAGTAGTAGCAGAAGGGGGAACGTACTTTACGTTCTTGTAATGTTCTCATTATTGACATTGTTGAAAATGAATCAAGTGACTAGTGCTGTCAGTTAAACGACAGCGAGCAGTCAGCATTTATTAGCCCATTAGCAAGCCAGTGCTAGATACCCTAGGTTTTATCATTCACCTCTTGCTAAACTGCACCACAGTATACTTTGGTACACTGAGGCCAAACAGACCATCATTTCTAATGCCCACAGCTCATCCACTTATCTGTCAAGTGCTTTTTTTCTTCCCAGCCCAACAGGAGCTACTTCTCTTTGGACTAAGCTGTTTTTTTCAGGAGGTACTAAGGGAATGATGATGGTAGTTCCCAAGATGAGGACCTCATTATTTCACTCAGTGATCATATGCCCTGCACAGGGCTCCAGCGCTGCGAGGAAATTCCCGCAACCAGCCCCACCACAAGCTGCAGCAAAGCCAGCAGAGCTCCGGGTAGATGAAGGCAAGCAGATGATGCTTTGCCTGGATAAAGTCTCTGGCAATCACGAGGAGCTGCAACCGATGTTTCCAGATTATTTTGCAATGGCAAGCTAAACAACAGCCCAGAGAAGGTCACGCTTGGAGATTCTTGGTCGTGCAGCAAAGTAAGATCGAGGAGGAGAAGTACTTGCACCTTGCTCTCCCCACTCTGAGGACCTTAATCAGTTCACGTTCTAGGGTTTATTCATCCAGCCTCTTCTACCAGTGAAGCACTCAACTACTTTTTCATTGTATTTTTTTTTCCTAGAAAATCAGTTGAAAGATGTTTATTTCCCGATTCGGACTCTAAGAACAAGGACGAGTAAGCTCAAATACATGACTCATTTTCAACCCGAGCCATTACATGCTTAACCATTATCACATGTTCTAATCTACCACAGATGTCAGAGTTAAAACACGCTGTTAATTAAGACTGTTCTACTTACCTAAGTAATTTCAGACTATATACTCAGCTCAAAAACATTATGTACAAAGTAGCTAGTTTTTAGCTAAGCCAAACCATAATAGTGAAACCAGTGGATGCAGTGTGCAGGGTAAGTACTTGTAACATGCTTCAGCCAACAACCGTTGTTTAGAAATTATAAACATTATCCTTATAGCTTATTATGATGCTTTTGAAGGAGTAAAGATACTGTAAATTCATAGCTTTTAATAATCAATGGCAGTTAAAAATTAAAATCAGCCTGTATCTTCTTTTTCCATATTTCATCACTTCTTATTGCAGTTTCTTAAAACAGATTTTTCATCAAGTCCAAATGGTTGGTTGCCAAAATAATGGTGAAAAACAACTGGAGACATGTAAAGGACATGTCAGAAAAATAATGCAAGAGGTTATGTGATCAAATCTCACCTTCTTGATACAATGGACAGATCGAAAATTACTGTTTGAAATTTCCCCCTCCGTGCAACCCCGAAAACCAAACCCCTCCAAAATCCCACTAAATCAAAGGTTTCCTTTCCCTAAAACTTCAAAGAAGAATTCCAAGGAGCACACCAAACTCACGTGAAGTTTGCTGATGGTAGATAATCTGGTGAAGACTGCACTAATAAACTTGAGTTGAAACCATCTCTAAAAATATGCAAAGACTTTTTCTCACCTAGCTTTAGTCCATGTGTCACCCAACGACATCCACAACTGCCCTTCTTCACTGGTGACGGTAAACCGCAGGAAGTCTATAGTATCCTTCGTCAGGAGGGGGCTGAGTACTGTACTAGCCAGCTCTGGACCTCCAGTCGTCTGCACCACCTAAATGCCGATATTAAAATAACGGAAAGAACATACACATCATCAGTCATAACGTTCATCTGAATATAAAGTATCTATAGTGATGCTAGGAAACATTTACTACCAAAATGGGGGAGGAGATGCAACCTCCGAGAAGCTAACAGTGTCCTAATGTCCTAAGGACGAACTAAAACCATTTACTGCAGAACTGCTGCTCTAGTCAGCTACCATCTTACATTTAGGCCTGCTCTTGACAATGTTATTTTACTCTACTGATCAAAAAACACACTTCTATTAAACAAACAAATGGCTAATGCTTCCAATTCTCCTCATGCATTATGTAAATTAAGTGATTATCTCCATTTTTTGTTGTTAATTAAAAATGATAATGACAAACTTTAACACATGCAACGCTAAGGATGATTTAAATAAATACATTTAATAGAGGGGAATACATGCAGAAAAGGATACACTTCTTTTCTAAAAAGATCATCATCCTCTGATATACACATTTCTCCCTAGTTATTGTCCAGGGACACATCATTTCAATCTGGTTATCCATGAAAAGGTTATAGAGCACGTAAACACAAGAGTTCTGAAGGAAAACATTGAAAAGAATTACAAAACCTTACCATATGCAGTGGTGTAAAGAGAAAATGAACCAATTCAGCTGCACTAGGATTCTGGATATGCAACTTTAATTTGGCCTGAGGGAACAGGAAAACATTTTTTTATGAAATAGTTAACTTTTACAACAGTAAGTTAACTTTTATAAGTACTTAACATAAGAACGGCCACACCAGGTCAGACCACAGGTCTGTTTTAAGCCCAATAGTTTGTCTCCGACACTAGCTGAGACCGAGTGCAAAGGAAAGAGTACAAGAGAATAGAGCAAGCACATAGTTATCCTTCCCCAACTACTGTATCCTCCAGCAGTTTGTAGCTCAGGGACTGCTAGAACTAGAAGTAGTATTTTGTATTAATAGCCATCAGTGGATTCTTCTGCTCCATAAATTTATCCGATTACCTTGAATCCGTATAAATTTTGCATTTGTTGTGCAAAGCAGGAAGTTCCACAAATTAATTATAAAATAAGTATCTCCTTTGAAAGATTGCCACCTTTTAGTTTCATGAGTTCTTGGATTAAAAGAAAACTGAGCAATCATACCCTACTCACTTTTTCCCCGTGTTGCTCATAATTATTTACAGCTTTATTACAGTTCCCCTTCTTGTAGACTTTTTCAAGACAAAGAGAAGTTTATCCAGTCACTCCTCAGAGCATTCCTGTCCTTCTCTGTACTTTCTTCAGTTTTGCTACATTCCCACATGGAGCAAAAGACAACCAGCGTACATAATGGCAGCGTGATGTTCCTTATTTGTTCATTTTCTCCTTTCTTTCCGAATGGTTCTTAACATTTGCTTGGCTGATCACTTTTAAGCATAGATGATGTTCTCACAGAAATCTCTATTACGACACCAACATTTTGTTCCTGTCTAGCAGAAGTCAGCTGGAAGTCTCTTGTTTTAAATATAACGTTAGATCCATTTTACTATCTGTACATGACACTGTATTATATACATCAATACTGAATTTCATCTGTCGCTTTGCTGCTTGCTATCATGAAGTGTTTCTATATTTCTGAGGAGAGGATTAGTCTCATTTTACTATCCAGAACAGCTTAGTCTCATCAAATTTTGTCACCTCACTATACTCCCCATTTGCCAGAACATGTGTGGATATGTTGAACCGCAGAGGCCTCTGCAGAGACACGTGTGCAACTTTGCCACTGATTGTACTGCACTTTAGGAACTGACTTTCTTCCTACAATTTGTTTCCTATTTCATGGAGCAAGAATCTAAAAAGCTACGTTGAACCTCACAGCAACTTGGTGTCATACACGAAAATTATGACAGAAACTGCATTGGATATGTACTGGAAATTCAAAGAAACAAAAATCAAAGAACGGCCAGATTTGTACACATTATTTTGCCTTGCAAAATCTATGCTTGTTCCTTCCTCAGTTTTGCAGAGCTGTCGGGAAATTTTATCCTGTGGGTTTTTTTTTTTTTTTTAAATAGACCATTACCTAGGTACAGACCTCAGGGGCAGAGGCCCGTAGTCCCTCAGATCTCCCCGGTGGCATTTAAAGATTACTGGCATTTCCTTAATCACTTCCCTTCCTCTGGGATCAAGGCAGTTTCAGAGAGGTCACACACCACAGCGTATGCTTTGGCGATTTCATCCATAAGTTTTTGGAAAAAATGGATGAAGTTCCCAAGGGTTCTGTTGATCTGTTTCTTGTCATTTTGATTAGTTGTTTTCTTAACCCCATTACCTGAAATAGATATTCTTTCAGGCCACCATTGCTTACAGGAAACATACTGCCCACTGCCAAGCTCTTCCAAGAAAACATACGCACAAAAAATTCATATCTCTGCCACAACTTCTCTGAGATTTCCTTTTATTCACTGATCACCCACTGGCCCTACAGACTCCAGAAGCATGAAACACACCAGAACGTGTTTTAGGAGGTTGTATTAGTTTTTATTGCATTTTGCTGACTGTTCCTCAAACTCCTTTCAGCCCTAGTCTATTTTTGCTTTTAGCTTTCCAGAGTATCTTCAAATGAAAAAGTAAGTAGGATGTGCTTTTACTTCTAATAACTTCCTATACATTGTTCTTCAGTCACACCAGCTTTCTTTCGGTCTTTCTAAAGTTTTTTTTTTGACAGAGGGCAGGCATTTTCTACGAGTCTCCAGCATCATGTTTTTAAATAGTTTCCATTTAACTGGCAAGAATCTTATTCTTTTAGCTGCCTCTTTTATTTTTAAACTAGATTCTTCATTTTATTTAGTTCTTCTTTCTTAAAATAAAGCACCAGGAACTGGAATTCCAGGATTCTGTGGCTCCTGCATTGATGCTGAAGCAAAGCACTGTTACAGCGCACCTCTTCAAGAATAACATCAGAAAACAGGTCCTGAATGCTACTCGGCACCAAAACAAGAAATGCTTCTTCTCTTTTAAGAGCCGCAAAGCAGAAAACAGCACCATAGTTAAAACTGGGACGGGGCAGCAGGGACAGGGGAAACCACACCTCAGCTTGATATTTACTGGATAAATGTCAACTGTCGTATTACTATTTGTGTCTCCCGTATTGCAACTTATTTGGCCTCTGAAACATTTAGTACAATATACTGGCACACGGCATGGGAGATAAAGGTTCAAATGTACACAGGTTACTCTTACTCTGCAGAATGAAGAAGTAATAATGAAGACATTTTAAGACTGCAAGTACTGTTACTGAGATAACCAATTTCCCTGTTGGCATAGCTCCTACAGCAACTAGAAGGGCCAGCCAGTATCTGGAAGGAAGTGCACTGAAGATGTCCCTCTGGTTGTTGAGGGCGCATAACACTCCAGCAACGTGAACAGAGCCTTCTGAGGCCAGAAAGGTCCTGATCAGTGACAGCAACAAGCACCAAGAACCCGATAGGCACAGCTGAATGAGACTAATCTAAGGCCACAGCTGGTGAGGCTGGCCCAAACATGCAAGAGAGCTGCTTGTGGTCCCAAAAAGACTTTCCTAAAAATCTTTTTAAACTCAGATTTTGCAAGTAAAAAGATTTTAAAGAACAAGGATGCTGAAAGAGGGAGAAATATGCTCCCCTAGTCATGGTGCTGTGCAGAGCCTTTGAGGAGCAGCCCCCCAAGAGCTGACCTGAAGGCCAGCCTAGGCCGGAAGGCACCAGTGCTGCTCTTGGTCCAGCTCTGAATGGACAGGAAAAAGGGAAAGGCCAAGACGAGTCAACTATCAGCTCAGCCATCTTCCTACGCGCTGGCCAAGGATGAAACAAGACTATACGTCCAGGTCTATCCACGTTATTAAGAGGCTATTCGTGGGTCCGTTTCTTTATAAAGAGCAGCAAAGACCAAGATAGCACAGGCCCTGGCTCCCAGTTCCTCAAAGGCTAGGAACACCTCTGCACAGTTGGTAGCAGTAGGCCCACCAGATTTCTGTACACAGACAAGGCACCAGGAAAGTTCGGTAGAGATATAATTCAATAACTGCATTCCCAAAACGACTAGATGAACTTCTGAGTTCCCTCAGGGGAGTCAAAACTAAGACGTTCCCACTGCCTGGAATATATCAGGAACCTCCAAAAAACCCCAACTTAAAAATAACTACAAAGCAAATCTGTTGCATTATTTTTTCTCCTCCTTCCTCCTCCTCTTCATCCTTCACCAGAACTTTAGTTCCTCACTTCATACCAGTAGATGGACAGGGCTCTTAAAACATAGGAAAACTAATGCAGCAAAATTGACACGCAAATGAATTTGTAGCAGCAGGAAAAATAAAGATCATCTTACATCTACCATCATCTGTCCCGGGAAAAAAATGTTGTAGCATGCTTCACAAAACCATAGAGAAGATTAGCAGCTGCTTACCACAAGATTGAAGCCATGCTTGAATTTTTGGAAGCAGTCAACGAATTCATCTGTATGTGGTGGCTTTGCACGGAGAGTAAGAACTCCCTCTGGTGAACAAAACAAGAAAAAGTATTTATACGTACATCTATATCTATATCTATCTATCTATCTATATATATATCTGTATATGGATTTAAAATTTAATTTTTATAAATATTGCAGATATAGTAAACAAATATATTTATATTTTAGCTTTGCATTTAATTCATTAAATATAAATTATGGATTTATTATTATGTTTATATTTTATATATGTTAAGTTACACATCTGAAGTTTTTATATTTATATTAATTATTGTAACTACTTAATACATTTACTGATTACAGAATTTTGTAAATATAGAACCATTACAGTGAGCCCTATTCTAGAGTCACATCTCTAATCAGTCACGCCCCATTGATTTCAGAAAAGTGTTTTTCATCAAGTTCTCTCTAAGAACATACTGCCTAGGATGTTTTTGCTCAAAGTGAAGCAAAATCATTACCTCAATGAAACAAAGAAAACCTTAAAAAAGTCACATTTACTAGCTATTTCATTGACTTAAAGAAAGAGAGTCTAGTTCAGTAAGCACTCCTACCTCCAGGTCCCTTCTTTTTACTTTTTTTAGTTTTCTTCCTCTTTGAAAGTTCGGCAAATGCTTCAGCAGCTTTTTGAAGTTTGGTAACAAAATATTCAATGTCATCCAGAATATGGTTCAGAATTTGCTGTGGGAGAAAAGAAAAGCAACAATTTCTTTATTGAAACTATAGCAGAAATACTCTAGGAATCCAAACTCTTGGACATCAACAGCTTCTGCAAAAAGTGAATGTTAGAATATTGCATATTTAGATTCATTATGTTCTTAACTTTACACATCTGTAACATTTTAAAGGTTAGATTTTTCAAAACTCAGGACCACTGTCAGTTTTTAAAGGCACTGAGATTACTAAATTCAGATTTCAGTTACATACATTCACATACTACACATTCTCTACATATTATATTAATTCTATACATACATACAACACATTATATTCATTTTCTCAAAGCACACACAAAAGAACCTGCTCTAATAAATTATTTGTGTACCACAGCATTCTCCTTAAAGATAATCTCTTTAAGCAGAAAGTATTAAGCTATTTGTCCAAATTCAGAATGAGATTTTACAGGAGAAGTGCCCTTTGAAGTAAGTGGAGGAGAAAAGGAGGGACCCTTTGGGGAAACATACAGGCACCAATTCAGCAGGCTCCTGCATGCTTCCCTCAAGACCCTTTGATGTTGCTGATGGCAACATCGGAATAGAAAAGCAGAAAGTTACAACTGATGACCAAGACAGTATTTGATAGTGCATACATCATGGGACCTGCTCAGTATCGTTGCTCACAGGTCACAGAAGTTTACGTTATACATATGCACGGCCGCATTTCTCGTCAGAAATGACCGTGTGTTTATAGCCCAGATATAGCCCATATCTAAGTCTGACTAACTTGATGGAATTTAAGTTTATACATACATAGCTTGATAAATTTGGTCTTCACAAAATTACTGTTTATATTGCTAGGTCTTCACAACAGAAAACTTGACTAATTTCAATATTTTGTACTTATCTTAAAACAAAACAAAACAAACACACAGCACACGCTTCCTATTCATTTGTAGGTCTACCATACAAAATACAGTCTGCCTGGAAAGCTTTGCTCCAGAACTGAATTTCACATGTGGAAAAGTCTTCCAGCGAGGTAGAGCTGCAATGTTTCACACTAAGCAGTATCACTTGCAGTTGCTCACTTACAACATCTCTGTCGATCCTGGCTGCTATCATTTCTGCTGTTTCTTCATGGTCGTGGTACTGTCTTTGTTTTTCAACTGTGGAAAAAAGGATGAAGAAAAAAAGATATCCATACTGGAAGAACTAGAAACCATGACTTTGTACACCACTTACACTTGACACCATACTACCGTAACACAGATGGAACTGTACCACTCCTCATGCAAGGACTTTGCATAAATTGAAGAACTTGCATGGTAATGCCTGATCCTGCCAAGTCTCACAGATATGCTTAGGTATATGCATTAAGTCAATTTAGCTGCATAAATGAAGTTAACCACATGCAGAAGGGGGCTACCAGGATCTCTATCAAAAGACTACAGCAGAAAATGACTGACTATAAACACTAAGTAAGGAGAAATTATCCCATTTTGCAAAATATGCCAAAAGCAACTTGAGCAGAAGTAGACAGGACAGAAGTGCTTAGCTCTGACTTCAGAAGGTGTTCACAGAGGACAATTTATAATTAAAAGGCAATAAGCAAAAAGAGATGTAGGAATTTGGGCAGAGTGACCAACTCTGGCACATTGAAATGGGAGGCAATGATGTAATAAAACAGGTATTTCCAAGCAAAAGGCACAGAGTCAGTATCTTTTTATTTGAAAACACAAAGGGTTCACACTTTGAGAAATTATGAGTTTTGCATATTTGAGTAACCTTAAATGCTACTATTGTTAACAGGAGCGATTTTTGTAAATACATCACAGAAAAGATCCACATGAATGGAATAAAAGGAACTGCAGGAACTCAGCTCACCAACAGACCACTGATAAACATAAAAAAAATATTTTTAAACTGAGCAGAAATGAAACAAAAGAACAAACCAGCCTTTACTTAAGGTAGATGTAATACTGTAAGTTAGTATATGAAAACATTCTGAACAGTACTGGTTTATCTGAATATTTTTAACTCTTCTCTGCATAGCTGTTATATATGTGTTTCTCTGTTGAGCTGTACTATAGCCCAATAAACCAAAAATAACACTAACTTCATGATTAATGACATCTAATTCTAAAATTTTAGTATCTGTTGTATAAAAAAAGGGGGAAAAAATGCCTCACCTGAACCAAGATTACTCTGTTAATACAGTCTGTTATACTGAAAGGAGCTTTATTGTTTCTAAAGAAAATTAATCTGTTTTTCAAGAAAAAAATATTTCCATTGCACATAAAAAAAAAAAAATCAGAAATACTACCACATTCCTTGGTTGAGGCTTTAAAAAATAACGAGCTAGTTTAGCCATACGGACCACTAAGATGATAAATGAAAAAATAAAGCGTGCTGATTGCTAGTCAGCTTTCAACCCAGGTGATTATATTTTTAATTGTCTGAAATATCTGGCCTGCATTTGCCTAATTACTAAGCGTGGCATCAAAGTACTCGAGTTATGCTCAGAACAGAGTAGTACGCATGTTAGTATGTTCATGTAAAAGCCTGAGTTGAAACGCACAGCCTCCCCCATCCACTTAAACACAGATAAACGAAGCTCTGAAAAGAAATTCAGAAAACTGATAGCGCGAGTAAATGACAAGTCAGATTATGACAGTGAGGTCTCATTCCACAGATCTTTCTCTCTACGGCAGTGATGGCCTGGGGCATTTAAATCTAGACTGGGAGAATAATCCTGTCTCCTCTCAACACGGACAGAGGGGCGACCGAGTGAAATCATTTCTGTATCTGGCTTCAGTTACTGTAGTCTTTATGAAAGTGTTTTTCCGAATCGTTTTTACTATTCTCTGGCATCACAGAAACTTACTGCCCAGAACAACCGTTTATCAGTGCGCGGTGCAAGAGCCAACTCTCAGAAATACTCACGCTCCCCCTGCTCGGCCGCCCACGCGGACCACGCCGCCACCCGGCTTCGCACGTCCACCTGGGTGACGGTCCCTGGCGGGACGGGGGCAGGCGCCCGTGGGGGCGGAGGGATGGCACTGTCAGCTTTGGATATCATCCTAAGAGAAGAGAAGAAAGCCCATTAGCGACACCTGAAGCAAAAATGCTCCATTTTCTAGTATTTAATCAGAGAAGACAAGGAGGCTTTACAATGGACCTTTTCTACTAACCCATGCTCTTGAACAGTCAGCAGCACTTGAGTCTGTGGTGTGCAAATTTATTTGACATAATAGGAAAACCCACTCCAAGAAGGGAATAGCAAAATACACATCAATAAACCGAAATCTCCATCACTTGGCCAACTGGAAATCTCCAAACGGTGCAACACGATGTCTAGAGAACTGGTAGACAGGTAAATTCAGCAGCTCAGATTTAGCAGGTGGTGTTTTTAATCACCGCGTGCAGTTAAATGGCTGGACTTCCATACTGTCTGGAAGTCTTCAATAGAAGTTACCTTTCAGACATCGCAAACCGATTACCTATTACCTAAATCTGACAGGTAGCCAACAAACTTTTCCTTAAAACTCAGTCAACAGAAATGACTAAATTCACAGGTTGATTTTCCTTTTCACATCAGCAATCTGTTCATCCCATCTTGATGCAAATGCATGACTGTTCCCACCTGCTATTTTCCACTATTTTTGTCTTATCTAGTTTTAAATACCATAATGAAAGAGATCTTTGGAGTCATTCTGTAGCTTGGTATCAAGAGAGGAGGGAAAAAACCCAGCAACTCCCTCTCGCCCCCACAATCCCTTCCCCACATCCCTGTTTAACAGTAAGAGCTTCACCTCCCTTTAAAGTCCCATCTCATTCATGGCATTGCACAACAACAAAAATACCAAATAACTTTTTTGTCTTTGGACACCAAACAAGAAAGTATCTCCTTCAGTTCCTTCCTCCAACCTCCTGGGCATTCTTGGTATTTCCACATTTCTCACAACTTGTCAATCACCTTGCAGGAACTTGGTAATGCAATGTCAGGCTTACTGCCACATCCCCGAACCGGTCAGGCAGGACTCACCCAGAAGGGCCTCTCTCCCCGTGACCTGATGCCCGCACGTACACAATACTACAGTGAGCAACCAGCGCCAAGCGGTCACGTACTATGGAGCTCGTGGCCTCAGAGCCCTCTGGGAGGGATATCTCAGATTAGTTTTCCCCAGATGTACTGACCTACATTCTTCCTCCAATTAAATCTCATTAGTTTCCACCCACATCCAATGTGCTTCAGTATTTCTGGATTACCCGTTTGTGCTTATACTTCTTTTTTTTTATAGCCCCACAAACAGTAAAGCGTACCTATTTAATTCTGAACCCATAGGTAAACTTAAGTGTGCTTGTGGTTGTTTATAGGAGCATCCATCAGTATAAGAAAACTTAACGAGTTGCGCAGCAGAATTTAACAGGTATCAAGAAACATTTTTAAAACATTGATGTTTTTACTTAATGATTTTTGCACAGCAGAGGATTTCCGTATAGACCACAAAACTAAACATTATAGAGAGATATTTTCAAGATAACAGTTGCATAACTAACCTTTCAACAAACTACCATTAACATTCAGTATCTAAAATATTTGTGCCCTTGTTTCTATGCTTCTAATTTCTTGAAGTCCTAGGGAGTTCTACATTTCTAATTTACATTCGGAACTATTTATCCATATGCAGAACTGAGACATACAACACTACTCTATGGCAACTGGTGTTGGTCAGTTGCTCCAGTCACTAGGGAGGAATTAGAAAAGTTAAGAGTGAAAGTTATAAACCGAGAAAGCATGAGATAATTAAGTCAATGTCGCTATACCCAGTTTTGGAAGTATGTTACCAATTAGCAAAAAAGGACAAAAAACAGCAGACTGACTTGGAAAACTTCTGACAACTGTCAACACTATTCAGAGATCTTATATATTGACAAAAAGTTAGGTTTTTACCTCAGTGTTTCAAGCCTTTTCTTCTGCTTTCCACTTTTGCTGTCACTGATTGCACTTTCAATATCTTCATAAATAAAGCTAGCCTAAAGAGAGAGAGGCAGATACTATCAGTTATCAGCTAGGATAACCAGATATAGGAAATAAATATCTCTGCATGCATCTTTTTTAAGGTATCCTTGAGATTCCACAGTCTCTTATCAAACCCCATGTATCTGGGATACATTATTTTACACTAAACAGAACAAAGAAACGCATAATGATATTGTCTGGGAGTTGGCAATTTTGTCACTGTTCCAATCTCAAATGCCATCCTCAGATGAGTATGTCATCTAGATAGAAAATCTGCCTGAAGAGCTGTAATTATCTCAAGACAGAAATTATTGGATATGCTATTTTTCCCATCCACGTACATCATTTTTGTTTTTGTCAAGCATGTCAGTGAAAGACATAACCAAAACTACTACAGACAGTAGCAGTATTATGGATAAGGAAAATAACGGTTACCTTCTTTTACTACAAGTTAAGAAATAAAGATACACCCTAATTTCTCACTGATTTTGTGGAAGGTCAGTTTTTCTGAGAGTTTCCTAATCCGTAGGTTCCCGCTTCTCAGTAACTGCAGTCTTCCTCCCTCCGCCAGTGACCCACAAGTAAAATTTGGATACAAGTCAAACACATTATTTTAACAGAACTTGCGTTAAATAGGTCACAGCTTCTCATGGGATTGAGAATGCTCTGTTACATGTCTTCAGCTGTCAGAGCAATTTCCTATACAAGTTGTCAAAGCCCAAATCTGTCAGCATCCAGGCTCACTCTACAAGGCCCAGCTCTATCCAGGTCTCCTCATGGTGGAAGAGGAGTATGTAATTTGTTAGAAGGAATATACAACTTCTCTTGGGACCAGAAGACTGTTGATTTTAGGACCTAAAGGGATTAAGGAACTTCTCAGGCTGTAACGTATTATACTGCAGAATACGGACCAGGAATATATTAGGTTTATAGAATTAATAAATAGATAAACTTCAGGGTATTTAAGGAACTGAAGACCAGAAGAACACGATGAATCATGCTCTTAATATTTATTGTTTAATAAAATTTTAATTAGAAAATATTGATTTGCCAAAATATTACTGATTTTGACTAAGCTTTTGTGGCAGAGGCTCCTGAGGTTCAGTGTAATTTCTGATCAAAAGAAGGAAGCAGTTAAGGAAGAAAGACCTAACATCTCAAGGACAGCTAAGTCTAATGAGTAGGGCGCAAAACCTAGGGTACAGTCACTGGCTCAAACAATGGCCCAGAAGAAAAGGGGGATCCTGGACTTCAAGCTAGAGAGTTATGCTTATGTGCTCAACATTTTTATTTGTACACAGAAGAACAACTTCAAAAGAGGAAAGCCTGAAGAAAAGAGATCACCTTAGGAGACTGGTTCCAAGCTGCCTCCAGCCAGGATCCCTGCATTATTTAACAGACTGCAACCTGAATTCCCCCAGATCCCAGTTTCCACTGCAATTATAAATTCGGTGCAACTAGTCTCACAATTAACCAGTCATCTTCACATCACTGTCACTGAACCAATTTCAAAACAGTCGCACAACATCAACAAAGAGGGAATTTAAAAACCATGCAATTATTTATCAGAATTTCAAGAAGTAGCAATTATACCGTGCCATTAACAGAAATTAAGATTTGCAATCCCAGAAATAGAGAAGCATGGCAAAACATTCAAAGCGTGCGTTTACTCTAGAGGTTTGAAGGAAACATTTTAATCAGAGACAAATAATCCCGTTCCTTGTCTTGCCCTTCTTACAAATAGTACTTTCCTTTTAATTTTCTCTCTTGCAGGACAGAGGTACAGTGAGGCGCGCCTGTAGAGGAGGTTGAATCGCTCAGTCTCGCAAAGAGCACATAAAAGGGAAGGACTAGGTAAGAGTGCAGGACTCAGGTGAGTTCTTCCCAGGTTCTAAAATTCCAGGTGATTTGAACTATTTTACACCACTTTATTCAGAAGTGGCAGTGCTTCCCAAATACATATTCCAGAGATTTACTCATTTGCAAACCTAAACGAACTTCTAAAGAGCCCAAGAATCAATACTGACAGTAATGACATTTGCACATGCACTAAGGATTCAGCTTAGTTAGATGACTCCTATCTTACAAGACATACTACACTACATTTATAATATATTATAATAAACACTGGTATCATAAACACATTAAACTTAAAGCATATTTATCAGAACAAAAGAAACAAACTATCTTCTTTGAATTAGTTTATTTGATTTTATCCACTGTACTTCCCAATTCATAAAATTTCCCCAATTCAAATAAGCCATAGCAGACCTCCATTAACTATCTTACCTTAATCTCATCACATTGGAAAAGATGCAAATCTGGCTTGTTTTGGGTTGGCTCTTTACATACTAATGCAAGAATAGAATTGTAATTGCATGCATTCATCACAGCTTGGCAATGCTGAATTGTGCTTAAAGGAAAATTCTCCAGTTCATTCTGCAGGAGGAGAGAGAGGGGAAAAAAAAAACCCTTAATATTCAGTGTCCTGATCTCAGAAAAGCTGCATCAGTTAGAAACGGGAAAGTGGTAACAAGCTAATTAAAATACCAGACCTCACATACATCATTCTTCTGCCTGTTCCCTTTCTCTCTCTCTGTGGAAATGAGACTGCCACTCACAGATCTTACCTTTGATTCCAAGTCCACCAAGCTGACAGCTTTGTCATCCACTTGAAGAATCATATCTTGAGTCCACACTTTGCCTTTAGCATCCAGCAATTTCAGCTTCCTTATTCCATCATCTACTGTAATCATTGCCTCTTTTCGGTCCAAAACAAAGGTGGTCAAGTGCTAGTAAATGAGAGAGAGAAAAAAATAAGTGTAATTTTGCCTATCACTATGCAGTGTCAGTCAGCAAATTGCCAGGAAACAGCAATACAAATAATTCATGAATAAAAGTGCCTTTGTATATGACAGATATGTATATGATAGATCCTATCTGTCCCTATTCGACCCTATCATTAAGCCATGGGGAAGGTTGTTCAGTCCGTAATGTCATTTTAAGTCAACTGATTTTTGTAACTCACTGTTTGTCATCCTCTATCATTTTCTCACTACAGTAAACATTTAGGCTTCTAGGCATATTCTGTCATGTTTCAGGTATCACAACTAGAATTAAAGCCTGAGTATTAATTAGCTTTCTAGAGGAGTGAAAACCTGTCTCATTTGGCAAGCTGAATGCAGGAAGCAGCAGCAGAAGCTTCCCAGAAACACCCTGCCAACGTACCTCCACCTCCGCCTGATCTGGAGCACGGCCATCGCTGTAGAGCTGCCAGCCAGCACAATGATGGCAACTGCGAGGGGTTTCAATCTGACTGGGATACCTTATGGACAGGCCAGTTGCTTGCTGTATGTAGACCACAGCAGCAACTTCGTATATTACCACTTTTTCCTCAGTTTCAACTTGGAATGTTCTCCAGAGGCAATTAATGGTCTAGAAGTTAAGCACGACCTCAGAGGCATCACCTCAACCAGTTTCCCTGCCATTACGATTTTAATGATTCCTCCTTCAAACATGTCAGCCACGCAAGACAACCCATAAACTATTTTACTTCTCTCCAAGCAAAAAATCTAGTTTCACATTTTTATTTAAGATCTAGATACACTTTTCCAAGCTGAAACAATTTTAATATATGCCTGCACACCTATCTTCTAAATAACTTGAAATAAAAAGAATTAAGTGTACGTTCTTCTATTAGAGGATAGCAGCACACTTCAGTAATGGCAGACAAGAAAGTAGATACAAGCTGCATATGATCAAAGTATTTAAAAAAGTAAAGTGAAGCAAACTCTACTGACTGCTCACACAGGAATGTTTGCACTTCAAATGCAAGTACTATTTTTTATGCTAGCAGAGAACCAAAACTGTTACATAGAAAGAAAAGATAGGTAAAGACAGACAATCAAAAGCAACACAAGTAATTTCTTTGCAAGTTGATCACAGGATATAAGCAGCTGGAATTAAGACTCGTCTGCACATGATTTAACAATTCATATCTAAATTTAAAACTCAACTAAAAGAACCTGTCAATCTATGGCATTTGCAAGAGTCAGCTTAACCCATGAGAGTGGTACTTAGTTTGATGGCAGCAGGAGGAAGTCTATCTCAAAGTAAGACTACAGAATGAGGCACTGCATCCAAAAGTGCTTAACAGACTACATACAGGCACCCAGGCTTACTTTGCCGGATAGTTTAAATACAGCTACTTCTAGATAGAACGTGACAGCAATATACAGTAATTCTGCAAAGCAGCTTACGATAGGAAGTCATATAGTTTGCATTTCACATGGGGGAAGAATTTGTGCAGGCAGGATGCTTTCAACTGCTACACAGTAGACTGTTAACTGAGGTTTTAGGAGCTCAGCTCAGCTCTTCCTAAGCATTCTGGCATCTCTGATGATTACAAATGGGCAAAGTATTCATTTTAAATATCATCCAGTGTGCCTCACCAATGGCACAGAGCTTTTCAGCTCTGCCTCAGCCTTAGAACAAGGCTGCTTCAAAGACAGGGCAGCATAACATGCTGAATTGTGATCCCATTGAGAAGTTCTGTCTGTTTGCCAAATTACGCGCATCTCTGCTTATTTTCTACTACATGAAAATTTCAGCTCATTATGGCATAGCTATACAATTTGATACATTTCAGCGTAATCTGTTCTGAAGTGACCTCAGGCTGGCAGGATATTTTAGAAGACTTACACGCCTTCAAGCCTACAAAGGCTCAAAAATCATGTAGGCAAAAAATCAGTGCACATAACTGAAAGTCATAACTGGTATATCGCTCCTCCTCTCACCTCCACATGATAGTGCGACGTTTCAGATACGCTGCTGGCACTGTCCCGCGCATAATTCTTTCTTTGTTCTAAAGAGGAGGTGAGAAAAGAAAGAGTAATTATTCATCAGACTTTCTACTATGTTGCATTTTGGGTATTTCTCTAAGACACTTAAGACTTAGCTGTATATATAAAAGCAGAAGATGAGTTGTTGTCAATCTCTGTATTCCAAAAGCAAAAATCTTCACCCCCAAAGTCCAGCACAAGCATAATACTTACATCAGCAACGTCAGAAGAGAGCCAGGAGGTATGAACAAGAGCTAGTATCTCTTCAGTGAGTCAGGACACAGGAGGGGAGCTGCATACCGATTGAAAACACTTCATTGTGAAGCCTGATTATTAAAATCACTGGCTTGCCACTTCGGTAGGAGTATGAAAACTAGTATCAGGCCTATTGTGTTCGTATGAATGCATTTTAAATTCGAAAGTATTCGCAGTTATACATATAATTCCCATGTTAAACATGGGAAACAACAAAATCACACACAAAACAAACCTGATGCATCCTTATTTCCTTCCATAGTATTCAATTCAATGAATTACTGATATACAAATATGCAGCGAAAGAATGAACGGGAAAAAAGCCAAAAGTTGCAGTAGAGAAATACATGCTCAACATCTCTAAACAGAAATCAAACAATACAAAATGCTGCAAAATCAGAAACATCATTTACCTTTTACTTTCTACAATAGATTAATATCAAACCAGGAGAGGAGGGGAGGAAAGGGGAAACGCAAGTTGGGAACACAAACCCCCCCACATCATAAAATAACGATTTTGGATAAATACTGAAATAAGATTTTCCACTTTAGTTGAGAGATGTTTGAATGTGACCTTTGGAAGGTCCCCTCCCCCATAATCACTGAAGTATCCAATCTGAAAACTCTAGGAGTTTTGCCTTAGTAAGGAAGGCACTAGGAGACTTGGCTGAGAAAAGTCCAAGGGAATTCTGCAGTAGCTCGATTTTCTCTTCTCAATTTCATGAGATATCTTGATTTCTGACTTTCAAGTAAAATAGGCATTTTGATTTTATTTGGAAGGAAAGTACCTGACAGGTACACATCATGCATTAATTTCACCATAGTCGGTTGGACTGCTTAGAAAAAAGCTCCTTTTTGCACGATTCAAAATGTTTAATACTACCAAGCACATGGTCTGTAATCTACAGGGGTCTGCACTGAGGACACTAAAATAAACAGAAGGGTCCACTGATCTCTCTGATAAAGACAAAACAGAGGCTCTTCTGTCAGCAGAGTTCCTTCATACAGGAATTATACAGGTACAGTAGCACCTCAATGCTTCACAAGCACAGACTCCTGGCAATGAAAGGACACCCTCGCTTGGAGATGTCACTTGTCAAAGCATTTGACACCTTTCAGAATCATACCCCACATTTCTTCATTTCTTGGTGTACTTCATAAAAGATAATACAGTTCCTGAAATCTCTTCTGGGCTCAAAGCCCACCTCCCAAGACAACAAGCACCCCTCACAGAACAGAGCTGTCCTGCCTTCTTGCAGCAGATACTCAGCTTGCTTTACCGAGATATGTCTGCAGTACCTTCAGCCAATATGAAAACGCCACGGATTATCAGACCTTGAATTAGGTACATGAACATATTAAAATAAATGTCTTGAATTCATTTTCCATTTTTAGAAATCCCAGGGCAGAGGATCCACACTGATTCCAGCTGTAACTAATATTTCTGCTTTTGCAGCATATTACTTAAGATATTTTGTTGGTTGATCATTTTTAACACAATAGACTCACACACACACACACACGTGCAAACCCCCAATAAAGTAGTCAATGAAGTAGTACTATTTGACTTGCTACCTTTCTGTTTTTGTTTAGATGATGATCTGAAGAAGTAAACTCCATCTGTTCCTAACAAAACAAGGGAATTGAAAAGCAACATCTAGTTTAACCAAACATAATTATTTGCATCTCAAAACAGACCAGTTAATGGTCTTCTGGTATGGAATGCAAATGAATAAATAAATGCTGTCCAGTACGAAAGAAAATATGCTTTAAAAAAGAAAGCCACGCTTCCATTAACTGAATGCATGACATTTTGAGCTCTGATTATTATGTTTTTTGGGGTTTTTTTAAGTGAACAGGAGTAGCGTTTTTATGACACCAAAGTAAACTAGGATAGGATATTTTACATCCTTTGTAAGGCTTATAAATCCCACAAATAGTAACAGTTGGAGTTGTTTTTTAAAGAAACCAAGAAATACTGGCATATTTAGAGGCTACCAAAGAATTAAAAAGCAGAGAGTAACTTCTGCAAGAGATTCCATGCTCATATTCACAACAATTCTGTCCCAGGTTAGATCAGGATATCCAAAAACAATTCATTGCACTGGTTAACACATCCTCCTCTTCTACTAAGCATCACAGCACTAGACGACAGTTTTCAACAAACTATGTCTCGGAGAAGACAACAGTGTTTATATAAGAAATAGAGCCTTATGAACGATAATAAAATCTGTGGTCGCCTAGACTCGACAGCTGAGACCCCTTCAAGTTCTGCATCCTCCATTACAACAGCAGAGTAACAAGAACTTCAAAAAAGCTAACAATGAGCAGACATCAACAAGCAGCCATGTTTATCAGCAAACAACTATGATCACTGCTCCAACAGCTGATGGATGAGGCTGACTTCAGTGGCAATTCCTATGTACTTTTTCTTTTTTTTTTTTTAAGACAGATTTATGCAGGTGGAATATTAGAACATGACAGAAATCTGAGTTACCATTTGTTATTCTATAGGCCCTTCTACTAAAAACACTGTGTAATATATGTCACTCAGAGACCTGGAGAATTCTATTTCTCGGAGTCCAAGAAAGTGATGCAATCTGAACTCTGCAGTGAATCACGGAAGCTAAAACGGGCAGAGTTCAAAGGCTTGTGGCAGCAGTACATATCCCATTGGGAATTCTATCATTAAACATAGATTAGAATTCTGAGATTTTACATGGATTTGCATAGGATTCATTCTGATTATTTATAAAACCATTAACAGAAAACACTGGTTGTGCTAAAAGTTTTCCATCCTTGGGGAAAAACGTGTTTTACAAAGAATCTCTAGCACACCAGTTTCACAGGGCAGATACATCCCCAGTGTGAAGAAGTGTATGTGTGGGGGGGGAAATAAGGAATGGAAAGGAAGAATATGGTACTGCTGGTGATAAAATAAAGGTGGGGGAGGGGGGAAGAGGGTAGAACTCATGCACTTAATTATTGCTCAGTGCTGCAATTTTTACGCGGCTTTGGAGATGAGCTAAAAAGTACCTATACCCGCTGTGAATGTTGCCAACACTGCTATAAAGGAGTGGAATGCATATACCATGGGTAACTCCTCTACCTTGACATTATTCACCCTTCAAAAATACCACGTCTAGAAAATATATACAAGGATCATGGCAAAAGACACTGAAGCTAAATTCTGAATCACAAGCTACATCAAATGAGACCCAGAGAAATTTGTGCAGAATAAAACATCAGGTAAAATCACAAGGCAGGCCAGTAAGGTTAAAAGCAGCACAGCATTTCATTCATTGATCCTGACTGCAAGATCTACTAGCAACTAAACTTCCCAAATGAGCACAAACAGTGATTCACAGAAATTACTACTGTCGCCTCTTTCTGATGTGGAATGATGCTACTACTATGCGTGACTTTGTGAACTTGATTTCAAGTTACCGATGCTCAGGAATGGACCACGTTTCTGTTTTCAAAAGGCTGTGAAAAAGTACTAACTTTATACCAAATTTGGAAGCAGCTAAACATCAGAAAAAACAGAAAACAAAAAGTGTTTTAACCAAACACTTCTAGACAAGCAAAAAGTACATGAGATTACAAATGGAAGGACTCAACATTTTATCCTTGTCTGATTCCACTGAAAACTTGGTGCTCTTCCCAGTTATTTCAATGAGGGAGCACTTCTCACATTGGAAAGGCAACTTCAGAAACATAACTATTCCATGGTTTCACAAAAAAACCCCGATTTTCACAAGGTCCCTTGAGGTAGAGCTACGACCAAAACCTGATACAGCTAAAGGTACAGAGTCCAGTCTTGTCCATTTTGCCACTGGAAGTTAGCCCCCACTTATGGCTGGGGCTATACGGCAAATTAGAAAGTTGCTTAATAAACTCTACCACAGCCTGCTCTGTGCCACTGCCCAGTAGGAGGACCACACAGAAAAGTATCACAGCAAGACAAATCTAATTCTTTTGCTCAAGTTACCAAAAGTGAAAGATCTCAGGTTGGGCCTTCCCAGATGACCTGAAACACAGACGGTGCTGTTTTGGGCTATGCTACCTTTACGCAGTTCCAAGAGCCTAAAACAGAAATGAGGAATCCCAATACCTGAACTTCTAATGATGTCTTACAAGTAATTGCATAGGCCAGATGTAACAAATGTATCAGAACTCTGGTTATAATAGCACAGAGATGGATAATGGTAGATCCCACCTTCCTCTTCTAGCTACATTGGAAACTGTCTGAATAGTGACAAAAAGACTGAAAATCTGAAATCTGATGACAGTCCATGCAGAGATGGATTAAAAGGCTCACCTACAAGCTGTTTTAAGAATCCTGGAGTAACGGCATAAATTATAACCACATATCACTGAGCAGAAAAGCAAAATGCTTTGTTTACTACTGGATATTTAAAGTTTGCTTTGGAGTGATGGCCCATACCCCTTAAGAATGTATTGCAGCAGGCAGAGAAGCTGAACCTGAGATGGGGAGCAAAGTGCATGAGATGTAACCAGCACAACCAGGGGGAAGGGTCAAAACTCGATTTAAAAAAAAACCAAAAAACAAAAAAATACTCATTATCAGAGGAGTAAACACTATCACTTACAAAGCACCTTGCCATCCATCTCTTCCCTGATGGCTATGTAGAATTATCTAGCAGAGAAGGTGTTATGTTTGGAAGTCTACCGCCAGTTTAATTCATTTGTGTATCAAATAACACAAGAATGTTATATGGATGGCTTCTTTTAATGAACTCATTTACCTAGATCTGCTCGTGATTTCTTGGAGTTTATTACACTACAGTTCTTGCTCTGAATGAGGTATCTGAGCAACACAAAAATGCACATGCAATTTCACTGTTAGTACCTTATCACAACCAAGAGAGTTCAAAAACACAATTCATAAAACACTTGGTCTTCTTTGATGTGGTCTGGGGACAACTGTAGTAACACCTTTCAATTCTGTGCCTAATAATAATCTAAAAATTTAGCGTGTACCACTAACTCACTATGCCAAGAGAACCGAGCTGCTCCAGCATGTGTCACTCCCTGGCAAAGGCCCAGCACAGCCCTGTTTCCTGGTGCCAGCCAGTGCCGCGTGTCTCCCCGGAAGCAACACCGCAGAAGACAGATGGAGAAGCTAAGGCTAGAACAACAGGTGAGAGTACGAGCCAAAATCCTTTGCAAACAAGAAGATCAGGAATTAAATAGCAAAATAAAACCCACGAGAATATGGAGAGAGCATCTCTCCTTCAAGTTCAGTGAGAGATTTATCATGCAAGTAGAAAAAACATTTCATTTCAGGCAGGAAAGGAGTGAGAATAGAGCGGATTACATACAGGAAAAAAGCTGAAAGCAGGTTTTTGCAAATCAGATAACCACATCAGGGACAGTGACCGCTCCACTCTAGTTTTTAATGAAAAATTGTCCATAATGCCCATAAGACTCCAGGCTCCTTTCCCAATGGCACTGTGATCAACCTTCTGCCTGTAGTTCAAATCACTGAACTCTCACGAATCACATTATCAAAGTAAGAACGGGAACCCAACAGTTAAACCTCAAGCCACGACATATATTTTTTAAAAAAAATCTTCACTAGACTTGGAAAAAAAAATTCATTCAAGATTGATTTAGTGACTTAGGAGCCCAGATTCCATTTTCACTTGATGTGGGTAGATAGGTGCTTTATTCCAGTTGATGTTCAAAAGTCTTGCAGAAAAGGAGGCTTGTCAAAGTTTGCTGCTACCAATACAAAGAGAGTTTCGACACATTTTATCAAAACCAAGAGCCCAATCATTTTACTTTTCTCTAAAAATTTATAAATGTATAAATAATATGTATAAATCCAATATATAAGCAGTGCATAATCAAATACCCAAGTTTGCTATTAATTACTAAAATAAAATAGTGTTTTTAATGCATTTTAAAAATTCCGGTATCACTCAGGGCTTCCCACTCCTCTTCTGACAGCACACACAAAAATTCCAAAACATCATAAAAGAAGAAACATTGCAGACAGATGTAACAAAACGGTAACATGGCTGCTGAAAGTCAAATTCAATTGCCTTGCCTTTGAGAAAGGTTTCAGGTATTTTTTTAAATAAATTTCTCTAGTATATACACTTGGTGACACTGACAGCCTGCTGCTTTATGCATACAAACCATAGCAGAAGCAGGAAAACATACAAACTGCACTCTAAAAACTGTGCCAATATATCTTTACTCCAAGCTCCAGCATAATTGAGTCTTCTACTTCCTTCAGTTCTTGGCAATTGCAACTACAGTTTTGTGATGTATCTGCTAGTACTGGAAGTGAACCAAGACCAACAATGCATTTCACAGGAGCCATCATGCAGTAGTTACATGGTAAGTAGTTTCAATTAGTACCTGAATTCAATTAAGTATTTTAGAAGTAAAAGGCTGTTTACCATTACATACTTCAAATTTAGCCCCTTGTACTGACATAGGAATATTCCATGGCACATTTGCTATGAAATTCTCTGTGATGTATCGTTTTAAAAGTCCATAAAGAACACCGTTAAGGCATTTTTACTGATACTTCCACAGTGTTCAAAACATATGCTTGTGAAGAATTATTAGCATGATACAAAATGAGAAAGTTAGAAAAAAGTGAAATATGTGTCATTCTCATGAACAAGCAATTGCTCAAAAGACTTTTTAGCAAGATGCCTCTTGCTGGTTTCTGTTACCACCTACTATTTCTGTGAACACATGTAATCAGCTTGTCAAGTGAACCTGCATAGGATGCAGAAATTGCTGTTAAAACCTATCACTTCAAAATTTTGCTCAGTTACAGTTCCTGTCTTTAATACTATATTAACTATTCTAAACTTAGAATAGTTTGTTTTCAACATCAGTTTTGAGCAAACGTTTGGAATTGTTTTCACTTTTGTCTTTGTAGAAATTTCTAAAAGTGGACCTTTACACTACTCTAGCACAGTGCCTTCAGCCACCAAACCACATCAGCATTTTCACACCAGTCCTCTTCTCAGAGGATACACAGTTAGGAGACCTTCAAACTGCTTCATAGGCTTTCAGCCTCACGGATCTCAAAGCAGTTCAAAAGCCAATAATATACACAAACAACAGAGCAAAGTTCTCATACGCTTTCAGGGGAGACAACCAATACCTCCAAACTCACAGCCTGTATGGTATCCCTGCAAGAGTAAACTGTATGTTGCAAAACAGCAAAACATCTTGCTACCACTGCCCTAACCCAATGAGATCACAGCAACAGCTATTACGGCAGCACCACTCAAAGCAGAAGAGGAGACTGCCTATTACCAGCAGTGTTGCAATCACTAGCCACTGCTCTTTGTCAGAGCGTTCTGGGGTAGTAACCTGCAGAAGAGAGGGTAGATGCAAAAAGGGCAAGCAGGCTGGACGGAGGCGTGAGGGCTTTTGCAGAGAACAGATGTTTTCATGGCAAACCTCTTTCTTCCATTCCTATCAGTTTTACTGACTTTCAAAAGAGCATTTGACAACCCGCACAGATTTACACAGCAGAACATCTCTCTGCCTTATCTCCACTTACATTTCCATTACCAGCACGGCAGTCTGCAATATGTATTCACAGCAGAGGTGGATGACCAGGGAGCAGCACAATTTGGCCTGCCAGGAATGAAACTGCATTCTGCCTCCGCTGTGATTTGGCCATAGGCTAGAGAATATAGTATACAGCCAAGATAAATAGTAGCATCTGTAGTTGGCTAGAACAACAACGTTTAGGCATTTCTAAGCAACATTACATCTGACAGAGACAGAAAAAGCCTGTTGAAAATGGCAGGCCAAACAGGACTCCAAATAAGTTTCGTCAAATCTAGCCTCTTTAAAAACCGTGTGCCAAGCATTCAACAATATTGCTGTAAATTCCTTTTCTGCTAACAGGGGATCAAGTCGGGGGTGGCGCAGGGGGAGACACAGGTCGTGATCAGGGTTTCTCCTTCCATTCATTAAACTGTTACTATTAATAGAATCACTCTATTGTTATTAAGAGCAGATAACTGTCAACACAACACATTCACTTATTCACTCACACATTCACTCAGTTACCAAGCTGGAGCAACAGTTGGTAGGCCAACACAAGACAAATTAAGCTGAAAATAGTCTCCGTAGCATTTACTAAACTTGACTTGGTAACAGAATTTAAACTCAAGAAAGTTCTTCTGAAGGGAAAGCTATCCCCATGGGGAACTAAAGAACACAACCAGGTGGCTATCACCAGGCTGTGCAGCAGCGAAGCATCTTTTTCCTTCCCCTTAGGCGCTCTGTATTAAGTGGTAATTTTCTAAGTAATAAATAAGTCTAAAATTAAATCTGTGACGCTAATACAAGACATTATTGCCAGTTTGGATATCTGTTGCAGGGAACATTTGAGCAGCCTCATGAAACCTGCAGCAGAGCTAGGGACAGACCGCCCGACTGCCTTGTTCCCTCCCTGACTTAGCTATCCCTTAGTGATCCTTAGCTATGGGATCACTCTAGTTTTCTGATAAATACTTCATACATTGCTGCCTTAAAAATCAGCAGGTGGAAGCTCTGTGCTTAGTACATGGTCAAAACATTATGCAGGCCAGTTATAGCTTTAGTATAAACAAAATCATTTTGTTCTTTATTTACACGTATAAATACGTATACATACACACACACACACACATATTTTCAGATTTGCACATAAAGCATTTCCACCATGACTTCATAATCAACACTTAAACAATCACTTTAACATAAAAGTTTAGAGACTTTATACCAGCTTACCATAAAGTGCTTTTGCACTTGTTCTTGAACCCTGCTCCCTCTCTGCCTGAGCAAATGTTGGTGAGCCGTAGCCACTGTAAGAAAACATTTCCGGTTAACTTGTCGTTACTAACGGAGGTAATAATACTGAATATTTGTTCCACATTATGAATATAATGAAGCATGTTTCGCTTAGGCTGGAGGCCATTCTGAGCTACTCTTGTTACACTGATAGAGCATCATGCACAATGGGGGTGTGGTATACAAATAAATGCTACCATAATATCAATAATCAAAATCACTGCCAAATAACAACAACAAAGTCTATGCCAAAGACTCCAATTATGGTAGGATATTTCCTACATACACAAGCGTTATTTGTTTTAAAAGTTTAAACTGCTTCTCTTAGGAGACTTAAAAGGAACATCACTGCCTACAGCTAAACAAAAAGGCAATCCAATTTCCTTCTAGTGTAACGACGAGTCCATGTATAAGCTCACTTTAAAGGAACAGCAACATGAGAAGTAGATATCAGTGCAGATGTATCTGTTCATACAGGAATACATGCTCTTTTATGTTAGATTAGACCAGTTCTCATCAGTACCATGAATCAAGTTTAGCGCCCTTCTTCTGACACAGGCAACAGCCTCTTAGCTCAGAAAAGGTAAACTTCCAAGCAATAGTTAACATTTCCTCTTGCTCTCAGTGCTATTCATTGGGAAACGGTATTTTCTTAAAAGGGGGAAGGGCAGCCTCATCTTTGACACATAAAAATGCATTCTCTCAGCCCTGACCTTAACTATCTCAGGCATAAGATGACCTCTGTGAGTAATGTAGTAAGTATGCTATTGCTACAGCAGAATATTTTTTTGTGTGCCAGGTGACTTCAATCAACAATACAGCTTACCACATTAAGACAAAAATCAGTCAGATGCTAGCTGACAGTTTGGTTACATAGTTTGGAAACTGCACATTCTTTTACAGAAATTGCCTTTGTATTATCCCAGTGATCTCTCCTAATTTTAGCTCTATCTGAAGTGAAACCACAAGGAAGAAAATACAGAACTGTTTTGTCCTGAAAGGGAAAATCAAAGGTAGAGTCTTACTTGATCTGAGGAGAATAACTTCCATATCCACCAGGAGGTGTGTTTGATATATGTCCATTCATTCTTATCGTCACTTACTGAAGGAAACAATCTGGGAAAAGAAACAGCAGCACGTGAAATGAAGTCTCTTAAAAGACAGAGGTTTAACACAGATGTAATACAAACCTAATGAGAAAATTATGGTTCAAACGGGACAGGAATTGCATCAACCAGCCCAACTGCTATTTGCACTGTGGTGATGCCTTGAAGTCCTATTATGGAACTGCCCTCAATTGCAATTTGATAGTTATTGCTTCAGATAATTTATAATTTAGTTAATTAAGTCACTATTGTTGACAGAATGATCTTTAGGAACAGCTTTTCAAATAAAAGGCCGACTAGACAAAGAACACCACCTACGGCCGAAGTGAACAAGATGTTCCAAACGGCAACTGTAATAATCAAGAACGCTTGATTTTAACCCTCAATTAATTTAACCAAAATGAAACTTTTGAAAATAATTTTTGATACATTTCTTCCATAAAACATACCAGCCGAATCGCTAGAAAAATGTATTTTAACTAAACACAGTTATTAGCACAAAGGGAAACTTGTTTAGCTCCTGAGGGACAACAACCTATGTTAAAAGAGTTGAAAGAAAGTACTGTCTCCTCAATACTGTGTTAAAACTGATCTTGGGAAATGACTTTCATAAGCCTACATACAGTAAAAAAAATCACCATCCAAAATTACCATAGACAAATAGTCTTTCATATATACACATACAAATAACAATTATTTGAATCATTCTGTATATTTGAGTCATAAAACAGAAAACAGATTTAATTCTGCAAGACAGCTAAAAGTACATTAGATAATATTTTATACTTAACAAAAAGCTCAATTTCCAAAGCAAGCACAACCTGCCTTGTTGTACTAAAGCCATCTTACAATAAGCTTATTCTCTGAATCACTAAGTTGATCTTCTGTCTTTAACTGTTCTCTTCCTCTTGTTTTTATAAACAAGCAGCAGCCGACTGACCTATAGTACACATTACCTTTTTTTTTTTTTTTTAAACCTATGTAGGTTTTGCTAGTTTCCTCTTTTATACAAAAACACAATCACAATCAAATTCTGTTCTCATCTCTACAGTTTTGGTCATTTCAAGAGATTTACGAGCTGGCTTTGGTCTTCTGCACCAAGTACAGAGTCATTTTTATACCTTTCTCAGGAACTTCTGACGTCTCCTATCTGAGATGTGGTTAGCAATGCTAACTAACACTGAGCTGCATTGATCATAGGCCAAATGTAATCAAGGGGAAGAGCAGTATTTTCTTCAGTGAGCCCATATTTTGTAATTTAGTTTAAAATCTCCTCCCCCACACTCCCTTTAAAACTGATTGCTCCTTGCAAGGCATCTTTACTGACATACCTGCACTTTACTTCCATTTCTCCTGCACATCCCCAAGAATATGTCACATATCCAACTTTGGAGTGCGTTTGACTGCTCTAAGCTGCTTTTTATAGAGCGCAGTACTTAGCAGCTGTCTACAACAAATCACGATCTGTGTTGAGTGCTGCTCAATTCACTAGCAATTACAACCTTTGGGAAGCATCCCGAAATCTTCCCATGACTTGAATGAACAAAAGCATTTGTTTTCTCAGCAGAGCTTGCCAGGTCATTGTGCACTCCCTGTTCCGTTTCAGCAAGCACACGGATCAGAACCACACTGGGCGCTATTCTCTAGGTCACGCTGCTATTAAGCTCTTCAGCATTTCATGTCGGCTATTGAATCTTATCATCTGCAAACATCACTTGGCTTTGCTATACTACCTAAACGTTTACCCAGGGATTAGCTTCTTAAGAGAGACCAGACTCCAAAATTTACCCAAATTATGCCTATGGCTTTTCAGTATTCCTCATTTTTTATATTTTCCACATATACTTTTATGAAGATACCGCCTATTTAGTAATTCCATTGGTCAGAGTGTTTTATCATCTAGATATGTGATTTTTTTTCCATAGTCGTATTTATAACAAATTCCTCAATTATCAGCTCTAAAGCTAGATCGGGTGGGGGGAGGGGAGAACCTCATTTCCCAGATTTTCAGACTCAAAAATGATTTTACTCCTCAGATAAACTGATTTTTATTCTTAATTTCACATGCACTTGCTTTATTTGTACTCTACTTAATTTTCTGAAAGCAGGTAAGATAGATGTTTTAAGTGGAAGCAATGTAATATATTAGAACTGAAAGCTTAAGTCTTTGAAGCTAGCATAACACATTGTGAGTTTTAACGCAATAACACTGAATTTATACAGCAGATTTTCACATTAGGGGAAGAAAAAATGTCTTTGCTAAATAGTTGCCCACCATACAGCATAACACCATTTACAGTTTATACCAAAAGCTTTAAAATTCCACTTAGAATCAAGTGATTGGGAAAATTTGGATTTTTGTTTTTAGATCTTTCAGAAAAGACAAAAAAGCCTTCTTCCAGCGTGTTCTTGTCCAAATAACCACAAAAACTTCTTTTTTTTTTTTGAGTTTTAGCTGATTTGCAAACCAACCACCACACTCTATTTGATAATTTTTAGTAAAGCCAGCAATATTTACTCTCCTTTATGCAACTTTCCATTATTAAAAAACAAAACAAAACACATGCTTTTGAAATCCCAAGAAGATTATTTTGACACAGCCATTACAAGAGGCTATGGAAAACTCCTTACTTCTTGCTTTGAGAAAGCTCCTAAATGTATATAAAAAACAAACCCCTTGCAGTCATTATTTACAACTAGTACTTACAAAAACATCAGAAAGCTACTCCTAACTCCCCCAAAAAAACGATTGGGCAATTTCAACTCTTTCAGCCTACGTTTTTCTGAAAAATAGTTTTAGGAAACACTTTAAAATTTTTACCAAGTGTGCAATGGAGAAAAGGGAAAAACCTAAAACGATAGCAGAAGGTGTAGTGCTTAGTTTATTATTTATTTGCATAGTTTTTGTTACAGTATTTTTCATCTCAAATGCTCCTTCATCTCTTACAACTCGTCCCATAGCAAAAGTCATCTCGTGCACACTGCTAAACCATTGTGATTCAAGATTTTATTAATAAACTCCACTTCCTCTTTAAACTTCCCTTTCACCTTAACACAGCAGTTCACAAAAAAATAAGCTGGTGTCCCAGATGAAGACAAACATCCTTCAAAATTATCTGCGTGACTCCTCTTCAAGTAGACCTGAATATCAACAGTGTACTTGTGAATATATCCAAGAATGGTCATGTCTTCCTCGGGATCTTAAAATGAAGTACAGCCTACACTGAATGATGAATATTTGAAAATAAGAAAACTAAATAAAGACTACAGTTAAAATAGGAAATTCCTAAAAAATAAGTAAATACTAAATCCTCTTCCAGCATTTCTCCACCCCAAAAGTATCAGAAACTGGGGGTTGGGGGTAATCCACCCATGACTTCACTGCTGCCATTAGCTTTAGATTTGATGAGGTTCTAATATATTGGTAGCAAGCAGCAATATAAACAGCAAAGGAACAGCTTTTGCAAGAGATAAACCATTTCTGAGAAAGACATACTGTGGTTCTTCACTAGCTGACAGTTACAGGTGGTATAATCCCAAATATGGACAGCATTATACGGGTATACAACACAGTTATGTTGGTCAAAAATATTCATTAGAAATATGTCAAATGCTAAAATGCTCTTAGTCTTCTCCATGTTATAGCACAGTGGCCTAATGAAAGCAATATAATCTGTGTGCAAGAACAAGATGAGAATTAGACAACTCAAATGCACTGCCATTCAACTTGCTAGATGGCTATCTGACTATAAATTTGAAGATAAAATCCTTCAATTTATTTTTTTTTAAAAATCCTTTTTATATATAGGTAGAATTTTCTTATTAGATGAAATGAAAGATTCCAGAGATTCCCATTCTTTTCACTGATCCTGAATCAATCAGTCCCAACCAACAACAGAACACAATATCACAGAAACGCTCAAAAAGGATACAGCTTAATGGTGTGAGTATGTTAGAAGTGATGCAGGGGGAGGGAGGGAGGGAGGGAGAGAGAAGGGGAAGGGTTAAGGAGGGGAGGATGTAGGAGAAGGAAAAGGAAAGCCAAGAATGGCTGGAACAATAATTATCTACCGATTAAGAAAATGTTATTAGTAGCAAGTCATTGTTATCACATGCCCCAAAAAAACACAAGAATTCTTCCTCAGCTAGATAGCAGGCACAGACTGTATTTCCAGCCTAAATAAAAACAAATGGACTATTACAAGGTAATGCTTATCTGTAGCAGATCTGACATTGTATCAATGGCAGAAAAGGACACACTTTCTCCACCCTTCCCCTTCTAAAAAATATCTACAGAACAACAACAACAAACACCTATCCATGTTACACTATGGATTCACTAAAACAGGGTCTAGCATTGCTACTCCTCAGTATTGAGAAAAAAATTAAATTTGCTGTGCAACTTTTTTTCATTTGTTTCTTCTCATGCCTCACCCTGTTCACCCACATGCACCTTCCCTCAAACCCATGCAAGTCTTCATGCTGAGTTTTTGCACAGTTAGTACTTTTAACCCCCTTGCTTCTCCACACTGTTCATTTCTTTAGGCATTCCTTATGATATTGTATTTTTCTCCACCTTCTTGCGTCTCTTTTGTTGTTCTGACCCAATAGGCTCATATATTTATCTTCACTCCAACCACGGGTTTTACAAATGGGAAACTCCTGCTGGAAATATGACCCACAGAGTCAAGTGTATGTTGCCACTGCCCTCCGCTTCACAACCTGTTTCAGTCCACAACTAAGAGCAAATATTGTTTCTGCGATCAAATAAATAGACCCCAAATTACATAAAATTGCAGCTCGCCCATCAGCACTGACCTGTGCCAGTTCCCATACGACCCAACGCAGTCAAGATCACACACTCCCATTCCCAAAAACGGGAACAAGGTGCTCACGTGCGCTTCTCAGCGATTCAGCTTGAACCTCTTGCTTTGTTTAAATGCATCATACGTGTTGCACACGGAGGTGCAGGGAGAGCAGGAAGGCTGTCCTACTTACAAAGAGGAAAAT